TTTTACAGAGAGGAAGGGAGAGAGATAGAGAGTCAGAAACATCGATCAGCTGCCTCCTGCACACCTCCTACTGGGGATGTGCCCGAAACCCAGGTACATGCCCTTGACCGGAATCGAACCCGGGACCTTTCAGTCCGCAGGCCAACGCTCTATCCACTGAGCCAAACCGGTTTCGGCAAGGCTACTCTTTTAGATAGGTGGGCAGGGAAGGCACTCTGGTGAGGTGATATTTGAACAGAGACCTGGCTGTTTTACCGATGAGAAAGCTCAGAGAGGTAAAACAATTTTCCTACGGTTACAAGACAGATTTAGTGTTAAATTAGTTTCTTTGATTCAAAGGCTCACTAAAAATGGCACCTCCCTCTGTCGGGAGTACACGTCAGTGTTTTTAGAAACTTCTTGAACGGGATTCCTGACTATTGTTAGCTTTCCTATCTCTTAACCCGTGCACCAAAGCGTTTCTAAAAAGTAAAACTTACGTAAGAGAATGATTTGTGCTTTGAATTTCAGTTTTCAGTCCGCAGGCCGACGCTCTATTCACTGAGACAAACCGGTTTTGGCACCTTTCCTATCTCTTAACTCGTGCACCAAAGCATTTCTAAAAAGTAAAACTTATGTAAGAGAATGATTTGTGCTTTGAATTTCAATGGTGGTAGGGACAGAAATAAAAGGTTTGCTTTAAGGAGGTGTGGAGGATTATTTTGAAACTCAAAATCTAAAGTCTAGTTTTTGGTGTCCTTCAGGTCTGCTCAGGAAGGCAGACCCTCCCTTGGAAAAGTGGAAGCTGCTCCGGAGAGTCTGCCTGAAGTGAAGACAAAGGCCCAGTCTTCACAGGCGAAAGTCTCATCTACTGATCCAGCCGTTGTAGAGGGTTCGCCAAGTACCCACACTCAGCAAAGCAAGGGCCCAGAGAACAGGCTTCCGGTGCCCTACGAGAAGCAGAGTTTGGCGTCCCGAGTTGCAGAGGCTGAGGCCTGGGAGACTCAGGCTTTTGAAGCTGAGAAAAGGAGGAGCAGCCAATTTAGGCAAGCCTCTATATTTGAGCTGGAAGATGCCCCGGTGAAACAGAAACCCTCCCTTAAGAAGGTGGAGGTATCAGAGAAGAAAAAGAGTGAGGTCGTCTCCACCCGTCCGCTCTGGGCCAACAAGGCTGAGTACATCTTCGCCCTGGTGGGCTTCTCCTTGAGGCCACTCAATCTTTGGCGTTTCCCCCACCTGTGGCTTCACAATGGCGGTTGTAAGTCTGGGGACCAGGACTCATGGGACCACAAAGGGTTAGCAAGACAGAGACTTAGCCAGGCCTCAAACTTCAAGGTCTCTGGGATCTGTAGAGGCCGGAGACTTGGCACTCTGAGCAGGAGAGGAGCCAGCTGTCTGAACACCGAGGGTGGCGAGAGGGGTAGAGGTGCAGGATATCCGAACATCATGGTGGGGCTAGAAGCCTGTATCAGGGTTGGGGTGGAACCTGTGTATCTGGGTCTTCCAGGAATTGGGGGGCCAGGGGCTGGACAGCTGGGACTTTAAGGGATGGGGAAATAGTTACGTCTTGATGCCTGTGGCCCTGAGGGAGATCACCGGTAGGGAACGTCTCTTTCTGGACTCCCAGAGAAATCCGAACGCTGAAAAGCCAGATGGTTCTCAGAGCCCTTCCTTAAATCCCCTGCACAGGGAGTTTTTTCATCATCTACATCTTCTTGCTGTTCTTGATGGGGATTCCTCTCCTCTTCCTGGAGATGGCAGTTGGTCGGAGGATGCGCCAGTGCAGCATCTGTGCATGGACTGTCATGGGCCCCTGGTTTGGTGGTGCGGGGTATAGCAGCGTAATGGTGAGGAGCCCTGGCTGCCCAGGCCGACCCTTTACATCCCACCCCCACCCTACCCTTGTCCTGGAATGAGTCCCCTGATTTCACTTCCATGGGTCAAGTCCCTTCGATTCCTCAATCTTCTGTCAAATCCCTCCCTTTTTCCCGTCCCCACTTTTCCTCCCCAGCCACCGCCTTCCTGGCCCCACAGGTGTGCTTCATCACCGCCTTGTACTTGAATGTGGCCAATGGCTGGATCCTCTTCTACTTGGGCCAGTCCTTCCAGTTTTCCGTTCCGTGGGAGCGCTGTCCTCTCCTGAAGAACTCCAGTGGCTTTGGTGAGGAGGAAGTGAGAGAGAAAGAGAAAGGGGACACAGAGAGGTGGAAGGGAATTTGGAAGAGGAGAAAGGAGTGAGGAGGGATAAAGAAGAGGCAGGTAGTAGGAAGAAAGAAGAAAGGAGAGGAAGGGGGTGTGGGGGAAGGGTGAATGAAGAGGGGAACGGTCACCCTGTCTAGCAAGGGAGTCCAAAGCCAGATACCCCCAGATCCTGAATGTGCACGGACAACACCCTCCATGTACTTCTGGTACCGGCTGACCTTGAAGGCCTCAGACAGCATTGAGGAGCGTGGGCCACCAGTCATCTCTCTGCTCCTGCCCCTTTTGATGGCTTGGTGTCTTGTTGGCATTTTCATGATTAATGGGATCAAGTCCACCGGGAAGGTGAGTCTCCACTTTGGGATTCCGTAACAGTCTCAGATACTTGAGCCCTCACCGAACATTCCTTACTCATTGACCTTCTGATTTCCCACTCCCTCTGGCCTTTCACTCCCACTTAGCCCCTGAACCCTGCGGAAAGCTATCTTCTAACTCCTCATTTCTGGCTCAGAATGTTTTATCCCTGCTGACTGTTGATTGACCCGCCCCCCCCCGCCCACTGGTACATGGTTGCTGATATGCCCTCCCCTGAATTCAGGTATTATGTGTCTTGGTACCATTGGCTGGTATCATCACAATCTCTTTACTCATCCGGAGTGTACTGCTGACCGGGGCACGATACGGGCTTCAGCGTTTGACGGTGATGAAGGTATGTCTTCTTCACTCCCCTCTCAGACCTTAGAGGACACCTGTTGTCTGCTCTTAGTGTCCTTTCCCCACTGCCTCCCTTTGTATCCCCTGCATTTTGTTAAGGTTCTCCTCCTCTTTGACAACTCTCCTTATTCTTCTCTTTTCCCTTATAGGTATCGGCTATGTACAGCATAACTGCGTGGATCCAAGCAGGGATCCAAGTCTTGTTTGCCTTAGGTCTCGGCTTTGGCCCCGTTGTCATTTACTCCTCGTACATGGACCAGCCCAACAACTGTCTCAGTGATGCGTTCGTTGTGGCTTTCATCAACCTGGGCTTCTCGATACTTGCCATGCCTTTTATCCTCAGTGTGCTGGGCTTCTGGGCCACTGTCCTCATACACAGCTGCATTGAGAAGTAAGGCCAGCCCCTTAGTTGAGAGTGTCAGCCTTAGGGAACTACAAAACCCAGAGACCCTAATCTTACAGGTGCTGCTGCAAAGACGCGCCTTCACACAGGCGCACTTGCAAGCCTCTGCTCTCTCCTAGAATGAAAAACAGAGACAAGAGAATCCCCATCACATGTTGTCCTTCTCAGAGCCCCTTTCTAGCCCTGGAAATCTTCCACGTCAGAGATTGCCAATTGCTCACCTCAGCGTATCTCAACAGAGAAACTCGAAAAGTGGCAAACAGTCAAGGTTACTCTAGTCTCAGACAGCCTCTAAGACCACACCCTTCGGAACACCCTTCTGCTCATTCTTTACTGGCAATTCCCGAATTTAGGGGTGTCAGTCAATCTGTCATACTTAAGCCCCACCAGGACGCTCAGGACTAGAGCCTATATTGTCTTCTCAGCCTGTTCTAGTCTGTAGGCCTGAATCAAAACTATCCCTCAGGCATTTAGAAAGTACTCTGGGTGTTGCACATCGTTGGGCAGGTGGCTCAGACCACAGTCCTTGCCTTCGTTGTGTTTTCAGTTTTGGAGGGACGAAGGGAAGGGATTTCGATACTTAATCACAGTCTCACAAAGTCATGATAACTGGTAGCAAGAGTGATGGGAAGACAGAAGACAAAGCCATTAACTATGCCCAGGCTAGTCAGGGAAGGACTTCTAGAGGAGGCAAACCTAAGCTGAATTTGTCCCTAGGGATCCTAACCTGTGCAAGTAACCACCAGAAGAACATACAGTATTTTAGTGGATAAAATTTGATCAAACTATACTTATTTTCCTGCAGCTTGCATTTTGCTCTTATCAGTAAGCCTAGGCAAGCCTTCCATTGCAGCAATGAGCTGATTTTTAAGGATTTGTAGGAATTAACCAAGTGAAGAATGGTGGCGGGGGTGGGGCTGGTCTTGGGCATGAGAGGCTGTGGCAGGCCCTGAAACTGTAAGTAGTTCAATCTGACCACAGCATAAAATGTGCAGAGGGCCGTGGGGGAAAGAGAAGGTGAGAGAGGCCAGCAGAGCTCAGATGAAAAAGACTAAGAAGTTTCTCATAGCTCAACTCCATGAGCTATGCACTGTCATCGAAGTACATGGTACTTCCTGATATTCAGTATGCAAAGCTTAGAAGGTTGACTTTTGCCTACTAGTCTAAAACGGGAGGAAGGGCAGGGGTGAGGATGAATAGGAGACTTCATCACTAGAGCAGGGACCCCGGAGTCCCCAGCAGATTTATAGGAAAGACTTCTGGCTCACACAAGTTCATGACCCTGAAGGTGGGTGCCTTTTCAGTTTCCTCCCAGGCTGTACCTTATTCAGATCAGTAATGCTAGGCTCGAGATGTCCTTTCTTCTCTGGAAGTTAAGGAGCCAGATGGTTCTATGAGATTCAACTTCTTATCCCCAGGAATGCTGAATTGCTTTTGAAGCTGGTAGTCCAGGGGAAACTGCCTCCTGAGGCCCTGCCCCCTATAAACATACCAGATGATCCACACGTCATCTTCACCTCCTGGCTCAACAGTCTTTCCCAGCCCATCAAGAACCTGGTCCTCTCCCACATTACTGAGTGCAACTTAGAGAAGCAGTTTTTGAAGGTCAGTAAAACTAGGTGCACTGGGCTGAGAGTTCCTTAATGCCTTCTGTAAAACAGAAATCTCATCTTTTATTAGCACCAGAAAAAAAAAATCCCAGAGACACCAGGATAACCTGCAGCCCTGATAATGCAGAGAAATATAGCTTGCAGAATGCCCTCCCCTGGATAATGCTAGGTGGATGGGTTTTCCTTGTCAGAGGGTCAGCGTGGAGATCCGAGTTTTACAGTGACCCGAGACTTTTGGGAACTTTTCCAGGGAAGGTAGAATGTATCTGGATCTGTATTGTGCTTAAGTTCAAGGACACTTTCACTCCTGCCTTTTCTCCCCTTAACAGGTTAAGGAGGGCCTAAGCTTTGCATTCCTGGCCTTCATTGAAGCCATGTCATTCATTTCTGGGTCTGTGTTCTGGTCCATCCTCTTCTTCCTGCTGTTGCTGCTCCTGGAGATGGGTTTCATGATAGGGCTCCTGCAAGGTGTCATGACTCCACTCCAGGACACCTTTCCTTTTTGCAAGAAACATGAAAAGCTATTGACAGGTACTCTGACCTATGGCCCTACTCCCACCAATGACCCTGGTTTCACTGAGACTCTAATCCAGCCCTGATAATAACTTCTGCTTAACCCTCCCCCGACCCCCCGCCGCCAGCCAGACCTCTGACCTTGATCCAAGTTCAATGTTTCCTCCAGTGGTTCTCTTTGGACTCATGTTCCTGTGTAGCATCTTCTTCATTCAACCTGCAGGCGTCTATTACATCAAACTGCTGAGTGATTACTGGATGGTCCTCCCCATCATCGTCATCGTCATATCTGAAAACATGGCTGTGAGCTGGGCCTATGGGTCCAGGAGGTGATCACTTGGGGCTAAGGGAAGGGTGACTTCCTTTCTTCCTTCCTTCTTTCCTTCCTTCCTTCCTTCCTTCCTTCCTCTATATTTTTATTGATTTCAGAGAGGAAAGGAGAGGGAGAGAATCATTAATGATGAGAGAGAATCATTGATTGGCTGCCTCCTGCACACCCCTGACTGGGGATTGAGCCCACAACCCGGGCATGTGCCCTGACCAGGAATCGAACTGTGACCTCCTGGTTCATGGGTTGATGCTCAACCACTGAGCAACACTGGCGGGGCTGACCCCTTTCTTTTTGCCTCCATTCTCACTCAACTAGACCCTCAACTTCAGGGTCTTCTGCAAAACCTTTTAATTCACTCATTTATTGATCATATTTATTAAGTACTTAATATGTGCCAGGCACTTTTTTAGTCACCAGATACAGTATCAAAGCAATCATACTTGTCCTCAGGGAGTTTACATTCTAGTGGTGGAGATAGTTACCAAATGAACAACAACAAAATGTTAGTTGGTAATAATTGACAGGAGAAAAATCATAGAGTAAGGTAAAATGATCAAGAGTGTGAGTTTGTATGGGTGTTAATTGAGGTAGGATTGCAAGGAAGACCTCTCTGATAAGGAGACATTTGAACAGACTCCTGAATGAAGGAGTCAGATAGAATTCTGAGAAAGTGTGTTCCAAGTAGAGGGAGCAGTAGGTACCATGGTAAGAGAAGCATTATGCCTGAAAGCTTTAAGGATCGAGGAGATCAGAGAGGTCGGAATAGAATCCTATATACTAAAAGCCTAATATGCGAAGAGTCTGACCGTTCCTTTGACCATTTGACCAGTCGCTAAGACGCCCTCTAGTCACCAGGGGGCAGATGCTCTGACCAGTAGGTTAGCTTGCTGCTGGGATCTGGCCAATTGGGACTGGATGAGACAAGCCGGACACACCCTGGAGCCCTCCTGTGGTCCCTCCCAGGCCCTGGTCCTGTACTGATGGGGTCCCTTGGCCTGGCCTGTGCCCTCTCACAATCCGGGATCCCTTGGGGGATGTCAGAGAGTTGGTTTCAGCCCGATCCTTGTAGGCCGCGCCAAGGGACCCCACCAGTCCTCTAGTGTTAGGATATGTGGCCAGAGAGTTAGTGAGACATTGTGTAGTGCCTTCAAAGCCATAGTGGGACTTGGCTTTTTATGCAGAACTAGAGGCCCGGTGCACGAGATTCATGCACTGGGTGTGGGGGTTCCCTCAGCCTGCCCTACACCCTCTCGCAGTCCGGGACCTCTCGGGGGATGTCCGCCTGCTGGCTTAGGGGGATCGGGCCTAACCTGGCAGTCAGAAGTCCTTCTCACAGTCCGGGGCTCTCACAGTTCGGGACCCTTTGCTCCTTACCACTCACCTACAGTGGAGGTGGGAGAGGCTCCCGCCACTGCCACTGGGCTTGCCAGCCATGAGCCCGGCTTCTGGCTGAGCGGTGCTCCCTGTATGGGAGCGCACTGACCAGGGAGCAGCTCCTGCATTGAGCATCTGCCCACTGGTGGTCAGTGTGCGTCATAGCGACCGGTCATTCCACCGTTCAGTCAATTTGCATGTTACTCTTTTATTGTATAGGATGATAGAGGAGGCACTAGAAGGTTTTGAGTAGGGGAATGACATAATCAGATTAAAACAATTTTTAATCCTCACCGGAGGATACTTTTTCCATTGATTTCCAGAGAGAGTAGAAGGGAGGGAGGAGTGGGTGGAGAGAGAGAGAGAAAGAAACATTGATTGGCTCTCTCCCGTAAGCACTCCCACAAGGACCGGAGAACCTGCAGCCAAGGTACATGCCTTGATTGGGAATGGAACCTGTGACCCTGTGGCCAGGGCCAGATTGATTAAAAATAAAAAAGATACCTATACCCCAGCTGGTGTGGTTCAGTGGTTGAGCATTGACCTATGAACCAGGAGGTCACTGGTCAGGGCACATGCCCGGGTTGCAGTGATCCCCACCAGTGGGGGACATTACAGAAGGCAGCTAATCAATGATTCTCATCATTGATGTTTCTACCTTTCTCTCCCTCTCCCTTCCTCTCTGAAATCAATACAAATATATTTTAAAAAGAAGATACCTATAATTGCTGTGTGGAGAATAGACTATGAGGAGTCAAAAGTGAAGCAAGGAGAACAGTAGTGAGTTATTGTAATATTTTAAATGGGAGCTAACAATGGCTTAGGCTAGGGTGTTAGAGGGGTAGATTGAGAGATGTGGTCTAATTCTTCAAGGAAGAACGACCAGGGGAGAGAGAACAAACTAATCAGGGACTGGAAATTAGCAGCTATAACTGTGGAATGGGAGAGTGGGAGAATCCAAGTCACACACAGGGGACTCCTGAGCCCAGCTTTTTACCAGGCTGGTATGTGGACATCCAAGTGGTATAATTCAAGGGCAGAAGGCTCACATGGCAGTATTTTCAGGTGACAGTAGTTCTTGCAGTCAGTTTATTCACATTTATTTACTCCACAAATATTTCTTGAGACTTTTCTCTGTTTTGAGAAAGCCTTGTAGTACTTGGATATAAATGACTTAGAATTAGCTCCTCCTCTTAAAGAGCACAGAGTCCAAAGAGGAAGACATATACAAGCAGACAATCGCGGTACAAGGTGGTAAGTCTAGAGGAGAGGTGCTGGCAGCACTGTAGGGGCACCTGGAAGGTCAGAGGAGGTATCTTAGAGGAGAGGACAATTGAGCAGAGTCTGGACAGATGAATAGTCTAGGCCAGTGGTCGGCAAACTGTGGCTCGCGAGCCACATGCGGCTCTTTGGCCCCTTGAGTGTGGCTCTTCCACAAAACACTACGTGTGGGCGTGCATGTACAGTGTGATTGAAACTTCGTGGCCCATGCGCAGAAGTCGGAAGAGCCACACTCAAGGGGCCAAAGAGCCGCATGTGGCTCACGAGCTGCCATTTGCCGACCACTGGCTAGGCCAAAGGACCCCATTTGTATATTGATTAAGTTTGAGAACATGCACTGAAGGAGGCTGGATATACAGGCTGGAAGAAACTAAGAAAAGTTCCCTGAGGGTCGCATGTTAACTTTATTGGGGGCCTGTGTTTGTTCACTATGCATATCCAGCACCTAGAATAGTCCCTGGCACATCATAAACACTCCCATGTTTATGGGATGAATGAAAGAGACATGGCCTTTATCCTGAGGGCCTTGGGTACCCATGAAAGGTTTTAGAGCAGTAGAGGGATGGTTGACATTTTTTCTTGGGTTGGGAGGAAGAGAGAAGAGGAGGTCTGAGCTGAAGTGAGGTAGAATATTTAGAAGATGCTAAATAAGGTCAGACTGGCCTTGGCCCCCAAGGAAGGGTAAGGCTCGACTGGGCCTGCCACCGTCTCCTGGCCTTTTCTTCCAGGTTCCTTGCAGAATTGGGGCCTCTGTGGAGCCGCCCCATCCATCCCATCTTTCACTGCCTGTGGTGCTGTGCGTGTCCGTTTGTGCTGCTCGTCCTGTTCACTGTAATTCTGATTTTTCTGTCTCTGAAGACCTTCACCTATGTGGCCTGGGACTCAAGCACTGTGAGCCTCCCTCTCCAGACCCCCGACCTTCCTAGGGAGTGGGGGCCAGATCTTTCCATCCACTCTTGACCTAAAGGGACCTTATCATCTCATTCTCGGCTCCCTGAAGACTCAGTCCTCTGCCCGGGTTCCCCTCCCACTCTTCCCTTCCACAGTCTTTCCTCTTCTGGGGGCTTCAATTTTCTGAACCCCTTTCCCATCTCTCCACAGTCCAAAGAGGTGCCTCGACCATACCCATCATGGGCGCTGCTTGTAATGGTTTTTATCTTCCTCATTGTCACCCTCCCCATCCTCATATACTTCGTATACAGCTTCGCCCATGGTATTCCCTTCAAACCCAGAAGCTTGGAGGAACCTCTCAGATCCTCCAAATCCCAAAGTCTCAGTAACGAGGCCCAAAAGAAGGAAACCCCACAAGGTGGTAAGGAAACTGCTGGTCCACCAGCTGTGTGACATCCCAACTTCCTTGATGTGGCCTGACATCTCACATCCTTCAAAGCAGATCTAGCAGGCAACTCTTAATATCAGCTACCAATTGTGATGGCCTGGGACCCAGAACTCCTTTTTCCCCCCGAGAATATAGCATTATTTTGGGGGCTCTTGGGACCTGGCTTTGCAGCCCCCCTCTTAGACCCCTTGGGTTGCCACTGTCATTTTTCCCATCCCCTTTCAGTGTGTACACATACACACTGTCAGTGATGCTAACTGAATCTGACTGATACGGAGCTGGAGGAGTAATGCTGTTGATCAATAAATCAATCCAAGCACTGGGTGTGAGCAGATCTGTTTTTATTTTCTATAAATGTCTCAGACATTCAGTCTTACTCGCAGGAGACTTCCACCCTTTTGAGAGCTAAATATTCAGACCTGAGTTCCTGCCCTCTCCTTGCTGTGGCAAATTCAGATGCTAGATTACTTGACTTGCTTTATCCAGGGACTGGCCTTTAGCCAAGAAAAACCCAGGATGTGGTGGTTTCAACAAAGATGGAAAGGATATTAATGTGCTTGCTCATGGGACATGGTACTCCTATCATAGGTCTAACATTTTAATTAGAGTTTCCAAGACTGCCCTGGTCGGTGTGGCTCGGTTGGTTGGAGCGTTGTCCCATGCACAGAAAGGTCGAGGGTTTGATTCCTGGTCAGGGTGCATCGGGGAGGCAACAGATACATGTTTCTCACATCGATATTTCTCTCCCCCTCGCCCTTCCTCTTTCTCTAAAATCAATAAAAGCACCTTTGAATGAGGGGGGAAAATAGATTCTCGTGACTGTTGACGACTAAGTCCTTCACACAGACGACTCTCCCCCTCGCCCTTCCTCTTTCTCTAAAATCAATAATATCTTTGAATGAGGGGGAAAATAGAGTCTCATGACTGTTGACGACTAAGTCCTTCACACAGACGAAGTGATCTGTGAACTAACAACCAGTTTGGGAACTACCACATGGCATCCTGAGCCCACCAGGGTCCCATAGCTAAGTGTAAGTTACCCTTTTCCCACGGGGCTAAAGCAAATGAATTCACTTAGGGATGGAGACTGGGTCTCAAGGAACCTGTAGGAGCGCTTGAGTCCACAACTGAGCCGAGGTGTTCGCCGAGAGGAGGAGGAACGGGGGCTTGTGGGTAGAGGTGGTTGGGATTCCCCAAGATCGAAGGTTTCCTTTAAAATTTAATGCTCAAGAAATTCCAGGACTTCGGATTGCTCAGCTCCCACAGGGAGACTGTCGCCGCATACGTTTCTGTGACAAAGGGAGAAAAAGCAGACGTCCCTAACCATGCGTTGGCGGAACCCTAGGGGTGGGTCTGGTGAGTGGGAAGAGCAGAGATGCCCAACGTCTCCGGCCTCAGCAGTTTCACCGCGTTCCTCCAGCTCGAGGAGGGGCGGGCTGCGGGCGCCCTGCCGCTCCACGTCACCGCCCATTGGCTCCCGTACCTTGTGGCCCCGCCCCCTTCCAAACGTCCTGTCCCCCGAAGACTCGTGCTATTGAGTCAGGTAAGGGAGGACTGGGGGAGAGGACACGGTCACCTTCTCACGATCAAATAGCCTGAGTTTCCAAGCGCCTTCCTTTTGGGAACCCAGGTGTTCATCCTCCTTTCTGCCCCCCCCCCCTCCAGTTCCAGCTGTGGGAGCAGAGCCTGTGGGGGAGGTACTGAAAAGTAGGGGCTCACCGGGTGAACCGATGGGAGCGGAATGAAGCTCTTGGCGCGTGTCCTCCTCCTCCTCTAGATTTCTCTTTCTCGGGCCACTTGTCGAAGGTCCTTCGCAGGGTTGTTTCAACTGGGACTATCCCACGGCGGGAGACTGGTTTCTGTCATGGGTTCTTCTCTGCAGAGGCCGGGGGTCCTCACTGCATCAAGTGCGGTTTCTTGGCACCTTGAGCAGGAACAGGTTGTCTTCTGGGCCGCTGTCGGGCATTTCTGGCCTCGTTAGACAAAGGGAAGGCCCGTCCCTCGCTAGGGTACCTTGCACATATCTTCACTTTTATGCCTCACAAGCATGGTATGAAGTACAGGTATGTCATCTTCAGTTTCCATCAGGAGACCCGGAAGAAAGAGGGGCTCACACCATGAGGGAGGGAGAGAGCCGGACAAAGATTCACGTCTTGTGGCCTCTGGGCCTTTTATTTGGGAAAATCTTCAAACACATACAAAAGCGTAACGATGAGTTACTTTTGTACTCATCAGCCATCTTCAGCTGACCTACTGGTGACCAACCCGGTTTCATCTCTCCTCACCCCACAGCGTGCCTCTCATGACTTTGAAGCAAATCTCTGAAACACCTGACAAAATGTATCACACCTAAAATAAATAAGAGTAATCCTAATATCAAATACCCAGCCAATACTCAGATTTTCTTGTTAGTCTCGATTTTTGAGGATTTTTAAAAGAAGGAAGCTAGAAAGGAATAAGGTTGAGTCAGGCACATATTGAAGTATTTCCTTAGCTAACATTTTAAAATATCCCTTGGTCATGTGGGAGCTAGTTCTTAACTACCTAGACCAGGAATACAAATTCCTATAGAAAATCTGCCTTTTCAAAATAAGATAGATTTACAAAAATTGTCTCACCTCTTTCTCTCCATCATTGCTTGCTTTTTCTATTTTTCTCTCCAATTCCCATCCCCTAACTCTCCCAGGTTCTTATTGCCAACAATGGCATTGCAGCAGTGAAATGCATGCGGTCTATCCGTCGGTGGTCCTACGAGATGTTTCGAAATGAACGTGCAATCCGATTTGTTGTCATGGTCACACCTGAAGACCTTAAAGCCAATGCAGGTGAGTTATTTGCATTAAGAAAGCATCACTCTAGAGCAGCCGTGGGCAAGGATCCGGCCCTTTTGAAATGAATAAAACTAAAAAAAAAAAGACCGTACCCTTTTATGTAATGATGTTTACTTTGAATTTATATTAGTTCACACAAACACTCCATCCATGCTTTTGTTCCGGCCCTCCAGTTTAAGAACCCATTGTGGCCCTCGAGTCAAAAAGTTTGCCCACCCCTGCTATCCACTGAGCCAAACCGGTTAGGGCACCACAGTCCATTTTAATACATTTTCATTATCCCAAAAGGAAACCCCACACCTCTTAGCCATCACCCCAACTGCCCCAGCCCCTTAACCCAGCCTAAGACAACCACTAATCTACTTTTTTTATATATATATTTTATTGATTTTTTTTTTTATAGAGAGGAAGGGAGAGAGATAGAGAGTCAGAAACATCGACGAGAGAGAAACATCGATCAGCTGCCTCCTGCACACCCCCTACTGAGTATGTGCCCGCAACCAAGGTACATGCCCTTGACTGGAATCGAACCTGGGACCCTTGAGTCCACAGGCCGACGCTCTATCCACTGAGCCAAACCGGTCAGGGCCAGATTTGCTATTTCTTTGTGATTTAGTCTTGGTAGATTTTCTGTTTCTATAAGTTTTCCATTTTATCTAGATTGTCCACGTTTGTTTTTTTTTGTGTTTTTTTTTTTGGTGTACAATTGTTCACAGTACTCTCTTGTAATCCTTTGTGAAAAAATGTCTTTTTAAATTGATTTCAGAGGGAAGGGAGCAGGAGAGAGAGAGAAACATCAATGATGGGAGAGAATCATTGATCAGCTGCCTCCTGCACACCCCACACTGGGGATTGAGCTCGCAACCAGGGCATGTGTCCTGACTGGGAATCAAACCATGACCTCTTGGTTCATAGGTCGATGCTCAATCACTAAGCCATGCCATCCAGGCAAGCCTCAGGGTTTTTGTAAGATTAGTCTTGTCTTTCCTCAACTCATAGAGCTCAAATTTAAAGTTCTTGATGTCCTTAAGGTCAAGAAGGAAGGAGGCCCCATCCTTGCAGAAGCAGGAACTAGAGCCTTCTCAGAATGATGAATGTTATTGAAAACATGGAGTCCCAGGAGGAGAATGCCCAGATGTCTAGCTCTCCCGATTCCAAGCCCGTGATTGCTGGACCTTCAGATTCCAAGCCCGTGATTGCTGGACCTTCAGATTCCAAGCCTGTGATTGCTACGACCTCAGCTCCCCCAACCGAAAATGCCAAGGTGTTGCCTACTGAGGAACTGAATGGGGAGGAACATGGTATGGATTGGTTTAATGAAGAAATCGAGAAACCACTGGAGGCCATAGACAAAGATGAGCCAAAGTACGAATCCGTCACTGACCGACCATCCTGGGCCAATAAGGTTGAGTACCTCATGGCCCAGGTGGGCTACTCTGTTGGGCTGAGCACCATCTGGCGCTTTCCTTATCTGTGTCTTCACAACGGAGGTGGTAAGCCTGGGGAGGAGGAATCGCGAACCCATGAAGGGTCAAGGAGCCAGAGGCTTGTTCTGGCTTCTCTGGGGTCTCTGAGATCGGTAGGGGATGAGGATTTGGGGTCCTGAATGGGGCAAGAGCCAAGTATGTGAATACATAGAACCTTGGGAGGGTGAGCACAGGATGTCTGAATACTTAGGTTCATAAGGTGGGGCTGGAGGTCTGGTCAGGAGTCGGAGTAGAAACTAGGTATCTGGGTCTTCTAGGAACTGGGGGATCAGGGACTGGACTCCTGGGACTGTGAGGGATGTGGAAATAGTTGAAGCCTGATGCCCTTGGCCCTGAGGGAGGTCACTGGTAGGGAATGTGTTTTCCTGGACTCCCAGAAAAGGCCAGGGACTCAAAAACCAGATGTTCCTCAAGGCCCTCCTGAATCCCCTGCACAGGGAGCTTTATCATCATCTACATCCTTATGCTGATTTTGGTCGGATTTCCTCTCCTCGTGATGGAGATAGCAGTCGGTCAGAGGATGCATCAGGGCAGCATTGGTGTGTGGAAGAACATGAGCCCCTGGTTTGGTGGTGTGGGGTATAGCAGCTTCATGGTGAGGAGCCCTGGGCTGCCCAGGCCGACCCTTTACACTGACCCTTATCCCAACCCTTGTCCTGGAATGGGTCCCCTGGTTTCATTTCAGTGGGTCAAGTCCCTTCAGTTCCCCAACCCTCTGTCCCATTCCCTCCCTTCTGCTGGCCTATCTTTCTTCCCCTGCCTCCAGAATTCTTCATGGTCCCTAGGTGTGCTTCATCGTGGGCTTGTACTATAGTGTGCTCATGGCTTGGAGTCTCTACTATTTGGTTCAGTCTTTCCAGTCTCCCCTGCCGTGGTCATTGTGCCCCTTAACGAAGAACTCCAGTTTTGGTGAGAAGGGAGGGAAGAAAAGGGCAAGTGGGAGGGCTGAGAAGAGGAAAGGGGGATGAAGGAAGAAGAGGATCATTGAGATAGATGGACAAGCAGATGGATGATGAAATGGGATGGGAAGGAGTGGGTGGAGGAAAAGAAGGGGAGGAACCTGGGTTTGCAGTTTCCTCCATGGCCAGTTCACCTCAGATCCTGAGTGTTCACGGACAACATCCACCACATACTTCTGGTACCGGCATGTGCTGAAGACCACAGATGAAATTGAGTTCGGTGGGCTACCAATCGTGCATCTCTCTGTCTCTCTACTTGCGACCTGGTTAATTATCTGCATCTGTATGATCAAAGGGCTCAAGTCCACTGGGAAGGTGAGTTACCCTCTAACTTACTCATCTGATGGACTCCTTTCTACCTGAGACCCCTATTATTCTCCAAACCTGATGCCTGTAGGCCCCAACTTCTTTTTTAAAAATATATTTTTATTGATTTCAGAGAGGAAGGGAGAAGACGAGAGAGAGAGAGAGAGAGAGAGAGAGAAACATCAATGATGAGAGAAAATCATTGATTGGATGCCTCCTGCACACCCCCTACTGGGGATCGAGCCCACAATCTGGGCATGTGCCCTGACCGGGAATTGAACCGTGACCTCCTGGTTCATAGGTCTATGCTCAACCACTGAGCCACACCAGCTGGGCTTTTAAAAAATTTTTCACCTGAGGAGTGAGGATATATTTTTTTAACCTGAATTTTTATTTAAAACTAGAGGCCCAGTGCACAAAAATTTGTGCCCTCGGGAGGGGTCCCTCAGCCTGGCCTGTGCCCTCTCGCAGTCTGGGACCCCTCGGGGGATGACCACCTGCTGGCTTAGGCCCGCTCCCCGGAGGATTGGGCCTAAGCTGGCAATCAGACATACCTCTG